CAGTTCTTTCATTGCAGCTTTGACTTCTTCCTTCATTACCATTGGTTCTAGATCATATGCCACTTCCTAAAATGGATGAAGATCGATCAGTTCTTTTTGGTACAGTGACTCTGTGTATTCCTGCCATCTTCTCTTGATGTTTCCTGCATCATTCAATATTTTGCCCATAGAATCTCTCACTATTGCAACTCGAGGCTTAAATTTTTTCTTCAGTTCTTTCAGTTTGAGAAATGCTGAGCATGTTCTTCCTTTTTGGTTTTCAGACTCCAGGTCTTTGCACATTTCATTATAGTAATTGGCTTTGTCTACTCGAGCTGCTCTTTGAAATCTTCTGTTCAGCTCTTTTACCTTTCCCTTTCTTCCATTTGCTTTAGTGATTCTCCGCTCAAGGGCAAGATTCAGAGTCTCTTCTGTCATCCACTTTGGTCTTCTCTTCTTCTTTATCTTAGGAAAATGGCTCACAAACGTATAGAAGCCAGCAAGTCCAAATTCCCTGGAGGACACGTCAGGTTGGAGGCTTTTCCCCGCAGGGGCCGAGAAGCTCAAGGCTGGCAGGCAGTACACTGGCTGTTGACTCCAACGAATGATGAATCCAAGATCTCCAGGCCTAGCAGTGGACTGCTCACTCACAGACAGTTGTAGGCAGCACAACAGAATCCCGATCCACAGAAGAATGTCTCTCTTCCCAGGATGTCCCTGTGTATCCTGGAAGCAGGCCACACCCCTAGGGAAACTCCCCCTGAACAGATTGGCCACTCAGAACACAGTCATCCAAATCCCATCATGGGAACAACCACACAGAACTGGGGTCCAGCCAAGTTGACACCCAGCTCCCACTATCACGATGCGCTTAACCCAAGCCATGGTATTTTCAATTGCCTCATATTCGTGTGATAGCTGAACAACGAACAAGGAAGACCAAAGAAAAGTTGATGCTTTTGAGTTGTGTGTTAGCAAAGAATGCTGAAAGTATCATGGACTGCTAAAAGAACTAACAAATTTGTCCTGGAAGAAGTGCAGCCAGAATGATTCTTGGAAGTGAGAATGGCCAGACTTTGTCTCACCTACTTTGTTCATGTTGTCAGAAGGGACCATTCTCTGGAGAAGGATGTCATGCTTGGTAAAGTGGTGGGTCAACAAAAGAGGGGAAGGCCCTCAATAAGATGGATTGACATGGTAGCTGCAGCGATGGGCTCAGGTACAGTAGGGATCACGAGGCTGGCACAGTATTGGGCAGTGTTTTGTTCTGTTGTATATAAGGTTGCTATGAGTCAGAGACAACTCGATGGCATGTAACAACATCAGTCAGGGTTCAACCAGAGAAGCAGAGCCAGTAGATATATATTAAGAGATTTACTGCATGGAATTGGCTTACATGACTGTGTGGGCTGGCTAGGCAAGTCCAAAATCCCTAGGGCAGGTTGTCAGGAATAGACTGGAACTCTCTGGCATGTATTGCAGCTCCTGTCTACAGGCAGGTTTTTTGTTTTTTCAAGGAAGCCTCAGCTCTGCTTTTTCAATTGATCAAAATCAGGTTCACCCAGATTCTCTAAAATAGTCTCCCTTACAAAAAGTCAACTGATTATGAACTTTAATTACATCTATAAAATACCTTCACAACAACACCTAGATTTGTGTTTGATTGAAACTGGAGATTAGAAATATTAGTTTCTTAGGGTTGCCATAACAAATTACTACAAATTTGTTGGTCCAAAATAGAAATTTATTCTCTTACAGTTCTGGAGACTTGGAGTCCAAAATCAAGGTGTCAGTAGGGCACTCTCACTTTGAAGGCTATAGGAAAGAATCTTTTCTTATCTCTTCCTGGCTTCTTGTGGTCCTGGCAATCCATGGTACTCCTTGGCTTATATCTGCATCACTCCTATCGCTGCCTTTGTTGTCACATGGCCACCTTCCCTGTGTTCTCTCTTCTTCTTGTAAAGACACCAACCATTGAATTTAGGACCCACCCTAGTCCAGTATGACCTCAACTTAATTATATCTGCCAAGACCCTATTTCCAAAATAAGATCATGTTCTGAGGTTCTGGGTAGACATGAACTTTTTGTGGGGACACTATTCAACCCACTTGTTCTGGTTACCTAGGTCCGCTGACAGGAATATACCACAAATGGGATGGCCTGAACAAACAAGAGTTTATTCTCTTACAGTTTGGAGGCTTTAAGTCCAAGTTCAAAGGGCCAGGTTCTAGGGGCTGGGTGAAAGCCCCTCAGTCTTGGGCTTCAGCTCTGCCTCCAGCTCCTGGCCCACTGAAGCTAGAGGCTTTTCTTCACTCAGATAGCTGCTGGCTGCTGAGGCTGCCAAGCCCATGGTTGACAAGTGAAAAGGCACAGTTCCAATGTTACCAAACCACATGGTAGGCCATTAATTCAAGTCTATTGTAAGTCTCCAGGTCGACAGAGCATGGCAGGCTGCTGAGCAACAACACAGCTACATGCAGGGTTCAAGGTACCATAAGCTAGAGACCATTCCCAAGGCTTCTCCTTATATACAAGAGGCAGACCATGTCCCAAAGGCAGCGACTCAGCTGCTTGTGATAGATCCCACCATGGAGCTGATAGCCAGTCTTATCATGGGGAATAACTACCACCGGCCACTCAACCAGGCCCAGCCAAGTTGACACACAAACATAACTAGCACATCACTATACCCATTTACATTGTACTCAGTTGTGAATATATAAATCACTGTAAATTCCGTTAAAACTAAACTTTTGTATTCTATTAATTTCAATACCATCTATACGTATTTGAAAAATTAGGAGGAAAACAATATGTACCAAGTCTATAGACAGTGCTTGATTTCACAGCTCTCTACCAACAGGTAGGGAATCAATGCCTTTCTGGTTAGTGAACAGGCTTATTGTGTTGGAGGCACACCAAAAAGAGAAATCATAAAAGGACTACAAGATAAATGACAACTGTCTATCAAACTGTCTGCAGTGATTAAATTTAATTTTTGATGAATTCTACAGAAGTTGAATTCTAAAATAAGGTATAATCATCCAAGAAGAATCTTAATTTCAAAATAATCAGTATGATTATCCTTGTGTATTATTAAAATATATGATATTTATGTATAATTAAAAATATGATATTTATGATATTTCCAATTGCCTCGTATGCATGTGACAGCTGGACAATGAATAAGGAAGACCGAAGAAGAGTTGATGCTTTTGAGTTGTGGTGCTGGCGAAGAATGCTGAAAGTACCATGGACTGCTAAAAGAACTAACAGATCTGTCCTGGAGGAAGTGCAGCCAGAATGCTCCTTGGAAGCGAGAATGGCCAGACTTTGTCTCACCTATTTTGGTCATGTTGTCAGAAGGGACCATTCCCTGGAGAAGGATGTCATGCTTGGTAGGGTGGAGGGTCGACGAAAGTGGGGGAGGCCTTCAACGAGATGGATTGACAGGGTGGCTGCGATGATGGGCTCAAGTATAGTAGGGATTGTGGGGCTGGCGCGGGATCGGGCAGTGTTTCATTCTGCTGTTCATGGGGTTGCTGTGAGTTGGAAACGACTCGAGGGCATCTAACAACAACAACAATAATTAAAATAAAGCTATTAGGAGCTCTGGTAGTATAGTGCCTAAGGCACTTGACTGCTAACCAGAAGGCTGGCGGTTCAAACCCACCAGCCACTCCTCGGAAAGAAGGTTGGGCAATCCTACTTCCGTAGTGATACTGCCTCTGAAACCCAAGGAGGGGTCGCTATGAGTCGGGGCCGACTCGACGGCACATAACAACAACAACAACATATTGGTGCAACTGGCTAAGGGATTGGCTACTTACTGACAGGTTGGAAGTTTAGATCTACTCAGAGGTACCTTGGAAGAAAGGCCTGGCAATCTACTTCCGTTAACATTAAAAAACAAAACAAAACAAAAAACTTCACTGTCATTGGATCCTGACTCCTGGCAACCCCCCACCCCCATTGGATTTCCAAGGCTGTAAATCTTTAAGGAAGCAGACTGCCCCATTTTTCTTCCCTGGAGTGAGCTGTAATTTCAAATAACCAAGGATTTGGTTAGCTGCCAAATGCCTTAACCACTACACTACCAGACCACTGAAAACCCTACGGAGCACAGCGCTATTCTGACACACTTGGGGTAGCTATGATATGGAGTGACTCCATAGCAACTGGTACTGCTTTTAAAGGCAAAGCATTGCAAATAATACACAAAATATAAGTCAATCACTTGGAAATAGAAAGTGGAAGGTCTTTTACTTTTTTATTGAGTATTATTTAATTCAGAGACTAGGCTGAGGCACCACATAAAATGCCTTTTCACCATGAGATGAGGTAATGAAAGCTATCATCAGTGGGTCCATTGCTAAAATATATCTAGTCCTCTTTCTTACAGATTCCTTTGAGAGTATGATTAAAGTTATGGTCGGTGTGGGGCACAACATGACATAAGTGTACACAAATTCGACGTATAATTTCCACCCAGGTGGGAAATGACGATGGCCTGAACAAGAGCTGCGACAGTTCGGATGGAGGGCTTGAGTGAAGACATATTGAAAAGTTAGAATTGTTGAAACTTGGTAAGAAGAGGCGAGATGATGATACCTAGGTTTTAGAGATCAGGCGATGTCAACAGAGGGGAGGAGTAGTTTTGACGAGAGAAAGAGGTCACTTCTGACTTGCTGTAGTTGATGGGTCAGCGGGATACAAAGGCGGAGAAGTTCGGAAAATAGTTGTGTCTGGTTCAACATACAGAGGGTTAAGCGAAGCAGCAGGAATAGCTGTGACCACCAAACATACTCAATAAATTGCTATCTTCCAGAGGAATCACTTCTACGCGTCACAAAAAACAATCAGCGGGTATATATTAACTTACTTAGCACATACGCAACGGAGTCAACCTGTCCAACCAGGGAGCCCCGCCCAATCCAATTATGCGCATGCGCTCAGCGCACGCGCATCACCCTCACTGCTGCCGCTCCCTTTTGGTGAAATTTCTTACTCAACCGGCCCCGCCCAGGCCGCTGCCCCTGACCCGCCAGGGCGCAGGGAACGGAAAGCCAGAAGGGGCAAGTCGAATTCAGCTCGCCATGGGGCTGTTTGGAAAAACTCAGGAGAAGCCGCCCAAAGAGCTGGTAAGGGCTACAGCTGCGGCAAATGAGTGGGTGGGTTTGTGTGGGCCATAGAGGAGTTCGTGAGCAACTAGACACTCCCTTATGACTGGCCAGGTACCGTCTGTCCCCATTTCCGGGGCCTCCCACTCGACCGACTGGCCCTAGGAAGTCTTTGAAGCTGTAGGGAGAGACAGCCCTTGTAACCATAAGTATTGACCAGCGAGCGGAGAGGTGGATTAAGAGTTCCTCGGCCTCGCCACAGGGCGCAGAGGCAGAGATGCTGTCCTGGTCTCTGGAAACCCCCTGCGCTCGTTGGTACGTCCCCCCCGGAACCTTTCCCGGGCGCGGGCCCCGCCTTCTTACCACCCTCCCGCCCACCTAAAACCCTCTCTCGACCGCCAGAACTTCCGGGTCAGATGCTTCCCGGTCACACTCACCTACACCGTGCTTACTTTGACAGCAGATAGACCTAACCGGGACCGGATTCAGAAGAACGCTACTGAAGATAGCTCTGGACCTAGCTGCGAATTCTGTATCTACTTATTAAATGAGAGAATGTCAAAAGGGAATTTTGTGCAGTGTTGGGGGCCTGTGGTCAGACTGCCAACGTATGAATTGTAGTTTCCCACATCTCAGCTCTGTCTTCTCGGTAAAGTTAACGTGCCTGTGCCTTAGTCTTCTCATCTGTCGAGTAGGGATGATAATATATAATCTCAAAGTGAAGATTAAAGAATCTGAATGCTTTGTGTACTTCCTGGCACATAATATGTGTTAATGTTAATTGTTGGTATTCAAAGATTCTAGAAGGATACAGAAAAACCAAACCTATTGCCATCGAGTGGATTCTGACTCAGAGACCTGTTAGGACAAAGTAGAACTGCCCCACAGGGTTTCTAAGGCTGTAAATCTTAAGTGAAGTACACTGCCTCCGCACTTCCCGCTGAGCGGCTTGTTGTTATTGTTGTTATTTGCTATCGAGTCGGCCCGACTCATAGCGACCCCTCCTTGGGTTTCCGAGGCAGTTATCACTACGGAAGTAGGTTTGCCCAACCTTCCTTCCGAGGAGTGGCTGGTGGGTTTGAACCGCCAGCCTTCTGGACCTTTTGATTACTAGCCCAATGCTTTAACGACTGCGACATCAGAGCTTCTTTCTAGAAGAATGGTACTGTTAGGTTCCTTTCAAGTCACTTTCTACTCCTTAACACTCCGTGGTCCTGCACCATCTTCCCTCTGGCAACTTACTCAGTTTTACTAGCTGTTTAGATAATTTTGGAGCTTAAATAAGAGTGTGTGGCATCATTTTGCAAATCATAGATATTATATAGATGTACATTTTATTATATAGTTGTAGGTGTTATAAGATGTTACTGTGGAAGTGTGGTTTTTGCAAGTAGGTAAATAATGTGTTACTCAACAAGGTAAGCACAGGCTTACATGTGTTTGTTTACTTCAGTCATGTTGTCAGAAGGAACCATTCCCTGGAGAAGGATGTCATGCGTGGTAAAGTGGAGGGTCAACGAAAAAGGGAAAGGTCCTCAACAAGATGATTGGCACGGTGGCTGCAACACGGGCTCAGGTATAGCAAGGATTGTGAGGCTGTACAGGACTAGGCAGTGTTTCCTTCTGTTGTACACGGATAGGGATTGCTATGAGTTGGAGAGGACTAATGGCACCTAACAACAAGAACAGGATGAGATTTAAAAATACTAGGATGTATAGTCAGAATTTGATGATCTGCTGATCTGTAGTCAAATGATGATCATCTGTGGAGTGAGAGTAGAAAGATGTTTCTTAGGTTTCTGTTTAATCCAACCCTCATTCAAATCTGCTTATTCTTATGAATGGTGATATCATGAACTGAAAATTGAGCCAATTTAGTAACAGTTCACTTTTGATGGGATGGTGAGGATGGAGAAGGAGCCAAAAGCTCGATTTTAGACAGTGGTCAAAAGATCCAGAGAAGACACTAGAGAAAGGATTATCTAGAATTTATAGAAAACTCTACCACCTCAACAACAAAAAGACAAATAATCCAATTAAAAAATGGGCAGGAGACATGAAAAGACACTTCACCAAATATTTTGCCAAATATTTTTTTCCCAATCTGTAGCTTCTCTTTTGACTCTTGGAGAAGTCTTTGGAAGCACATAAAGATTTAATTTTTAGAAGGTCCCATTCATCTAGTTTCTCTTCTGCTGTTTGTGCATTTTGCCTTATGCTGGATAGTCTATTTATGCCATGTATTAGAGCCCCTAAATTTGCCCCTATATTTTCCTTGAGAAACTTTATAGTTTTAGGTTTCACATTTAAGTCTTTGATCCATCTGGAGTTAGTTTTTGTGTATGATGTGAGGTACAGATCTTGTTTCATTTTTCTGCAAATAATATCCAGTTTTGCCAGCACCATTTATTAAATAGACATTCTCTTCCCTATTTAATGGATTTCAGCCCTTTGTCAAAAATCAGCTGACCATAGATCCACAGATCTATTTCTGGGTTCTCAATTCTATTCCATTGGTCTGTGTGTCTGTCATTGTACCAATAACAGACAGTTTTAACTACTGTGGCTGTATAGTGGGTTTTGAGATCCAGGAGTGTGAGGCCTCTTTGTTCTTCTTCAGTTGTTGTTGTTATGTGCTGTCAAGTCGGCCCCGACTCATAGTGATCCCTCCTTGGGTTGCCGAGGCAGTGTCGCTACGGAAGTAGATTGCCCAACCTTCCTTCTGAGGAGTGGCTAGTGAGTTTGAACCACCAGCCTTCTGGTTAGCGGTAAAATGCCTTAGGCACCATGCTACCAGAGCTCCTGTTCTTCTTCAGTAGTACTTTGCTTATCTGAGGTCTCTTTCCTTTCCTTATAAACTTAGTGATTGGTTTTTCCATGTCCTTAAAGAAGGTTGATGGGATCTGGATTGGGATTACATTGAATGTGTATAGATTGCTTTGGGTAGAAATGACATTTTCACAATGTTCAATCTTCCTATCCACGAGCATGGGATGTTCTTCCATTTATGTAGATCTCTTACGGTTTCTTGAAGTAGTGTTTTACAGTTTTCTTTGTACAGGTCTTTTGTGTCCCTGGTGAGATTTATTACTAAGTATTTTATTTTTTTGGTAGCTATTGTAAATGGTATTGATTTCCTTATTTCTTTTTCAGCAATCTCTTAGCTAGTATAGAGGAATCCAACTGATTTTTGGATGTTGATCTTGTATCCTGCCACAATGCTAAATCCCTCAATTAGTTCCAGTAGATTTTTGACTGAGTCTCTTGGGTTTCCTAGGTTTAGGATCCTGTCATCAGCAACTAGGGATAGTTTGACTTCTTCCTTACCAATCTGGATGCCTTTGATTTCCCTTTCTTGCCTTATTGCCCTGGCTAGGACTTCCAATACAGTGTTGAATAGAAGTGGTGAGAGAAGCCATCCTTGTCTGGGTCCTGTTCTCAAGAGGAATGGATTCTCTCCATTGAGAATAATGTTGGCTGTTGGTTCTGCATATATGCCCTTTGTTATGTTGAGGAGTGTCCCTTCTATTCCTATTTTGCTGAGAATTTTGATCAGGAATGGGTGTTGGGTTTTATCAAATGCCTTTTCAGCATCAATTGATATGATCATGTGGTTCTTTTCCTTTGTTTTCTTTATGTAGTGGATGACGTTGATTATTTTTCCAATGTTGAACCATACTTGCATCCCTTATATGAATCCCACTTCCTCATAATGTATTATTTTCTTGTTATGTTGTTGGTGTGTATTGGCTAGGATTTTGTTGAAGATTTTTGCATCTATATTCATGAGGGATATTGGTCTGTAGTTTTCCTTTCGAGTGGTGTCTTAATCTGGTTTTGGTATCAAGGTTATGCTTGCTTTATAAAATGAGTTAGGGAGGATTCCATCCTTTTCTTTGTTCTGGAATAGTTTAAGTAGGATTGGTGTCATTTCTTCTCTGAATGTTTTGGAGAATTTTTGGTGAAACCATCTGGGTCATGACTTTTTTTTTGGTAATTTTTTGATGACTTGTTCAATTTTCCTCTTGTTTTGGATCTGTTCAGCTTTTCCATATCAGTCTGTGTTAGTTTAGGTAAGTGGTGTGTTTCTAGAAACTTGTCCATTTCTTCCAGATTTTCAAATTTGTTGGAGTACAGTTCTTCATGTTGTTGTGTTATTATGTGCCATCGAGTCATCTCCAATTCATAGTGACCCCTCCTTGGGTTTCTGAGGCGGTATCGCTACGGAAGTGTTGTTGTTGTTGTTATGTGCCGTCGAGTCGGCCCCGACTCATAGCGACCCCTCCTTGGGTTTCCAAGGCAGTTATCACTACGGAAGTAGGATTGCCCAACCTTCCTTCCGAGGAGTGGCTGGTGGGTTTGAACCGCCAGCTGTCTGGTTAGCAGGCAAGTGTCTTAGCCACTATGCTACCAGAGCTCCCCACTACGGAAGTAGTTTGCCCAATCTTCCTGAGTGGCTTGTGGGTTTGAACCACCAACCTTCTGGTTAGCAGTCAAGTGCCTTAGGCACTGTGCCACCAATACTCCCACAGTTCTTCATAGTATCTGGATATTATCCTTTTTTATTTTAGTTCGTTCTGTTGTAATGTTGCCCATTTGGTTTCTTATTCATGTTATCTGTATCCTCTCCCTCTTTTTCTTTGTTGGGAGCTCTGGTGGCATAGTGCCTAAGGCATTTGACTGCTAATCAGAAGGCTGGCGGTTCAAACCCACCAGCTACTCCTCGGAAGGAAGGTTGGGCAATCTACTATCTGTAGTGATACTGCTTCGGAAACCCAAGGTGGGGTTGCTATGAGTCGGATCCGACTCCACGGCAGTGTGTTTAGTTTTTTTTTTTTTTTTTGGTTTTTCCTTTGTTAAATTTGTCAGTGGTTTGCCAATTTTATTAATCTTTTCAAAAAATGTTTCATTTCTTATTCGTATTATTTGTATTTGTTCCTTCTTTTCCTTTGTTAAATTTGTCATGGTTTGTCAATTTTATTAATCTTTTAAAAAAACCAACTTCTAGTCTTATTGATTTT